AGGAACTCACGGCCAAGCTTCGATCAGTTAAATATCTTCACGTTGTACGAGAATACAACGCGGCCGCGGATTCGTTAGCCACTGAAGCGCTGGAATCGAAGGTCAGTCGATTAATCTTGGCTGAAACTCGCAAGTCGGAATTGGCATCGCTGAACCGCATCCAGGAAATGATCTACGAGCCGGATGAAGACTCGGTAGATGTTTCGTCACGAGGAGCAGAGCGTCAAGTACATGTACTGTCAGGCAGCGAGTCTTCAAAGTGGAAAACTTTCGAAAATTTCGTGGTTGATTACAGCTCACCAAAGTGCGATTATGGTAATATAGCAGTGATGACTCGGCGACAGACGAAAGCCAAGAAACGCGTCAGGTTTGCAGATGAACACTCGGAGGAGGTCTCAAAAGCTCAAGAACAGAATGAAGAACGACGAGAGACGTCCACTGAAGATTCATTCGGCAAAGATTTGCCAGACCATCCTCACAAGACTGTACCAGCGGCATTTCCCGATGCGGAAGATGTTGACCCAGTAGCGATACAGCGGGAACGACGCAGATGGATACTGGTGGCACAAGACGAGGGGCAGAAGTGATTTAACATCAAGAAGGTGCTTCAGGGCCAAGCAGAAGAGCTGAGTTACAAAGAAGCTCGAGATGCCTGGAAGTATGCTGACCGGTTCGTGTTATCAGAAGACGGCGTGCTTCACTATCTTGGATTGAATCGTCGGTACGACCACGGTTGGCAAGAGGAGACCAAGCTGCGGCTTGTGGTACCGACAACGATGATTCAAGAGGTCTTGCAGAACTGTCACGACTCGCTGGAAGGAGGACATCAAGGTGTGGTGAGAACATTCCATCGCGTTAAGTCCGATTATTATTGGATCGGCTTGTACGCTGACGTGGAGAAGCATGTGAAGTCATGTCCAGATTGCAGCTCGAGTAAAAGCCGTCCGCAGCTTCGTGGATACTCACCTGGCAACGTACTAGCCGAACGACCTTTCCAGATCGTCTCGATGGATTTTGTGATCCCACTACCGAAATCTCGCAGGGGCAACACGGCGTTGCTCCTATTTCAGTGCTCGTTTACGGGATTCGTTATTGCCAAGGCTATGTCAGATACGACTGCACTAAGTGTTGCCCAAGTGTTCGAAGAATGTGTGTACCGACGATTCGGAGCCCCATCATTAATAAGGCACGACCGCGACCCACGCTTCATGAGCGAGGTTTTCCAAGCATTTGCAGAGATGATGCAGTCAAGATCACGAGCGACTTTGAGCTATCGGCCACAGGCTAATGGACAGCAGGAACGCTCGGTGAAGTCGGTGATGGGATCCGTACGGGTGTACGCGGAAGACCCTCTACAGCAAGATTGGGACGAAATCGCGGAGAAGCTGGTATTTGCTATTAATACTTCTCAAGACACTACGAGGAAGGAGACGCCGTTCTACCTCGTTCAAGGTTGGGATGCTCAGTCGACGCTGCGGGCAATGTCGTCATCACTCAAACAAGGGCTCGGCAAGCAGTCTGACGCACTAGCGTGGCGGCGTGAGATCAATCGACAACATGAGGTCGCCCTCACTATGGCCAAAGATTATCAGGCTGTAGAAAAGGAGCGACGAGCAAAAAAGCATAATGATGCTCTGAGTCGACTGGAAAAAGCCGCTGTATCTCAACCAAGTGGAAACGAACACTCGGCAGACCCTCTAGAAGCTTCAAAAGAGATGGAAGATCCTGCAAGAGCCCCACCGAGATCTCTTTTCGAGATTGGAAGCCGGGCGTGGCTGTACATGGAACGCGTCAAACCGGGCTTGACGAAAAAATTAGCTCACCGATGGCATGGACCTTTTCGGATCAAGCGCAAGGTGGAAGAGTTTGCGTACGAGCTGGAACTGCCTGACCGAAGTGGGTATCGCTTTGACCCAGTAGTGCATGTGTCAAGACTCAAAGCTGTCAACGAGTTCAACAGTCGACCGAGCACTCGGTTGGTACTAGACGCGACTAATGAAGCAAGACTCGACTTCGATGAGGAACTACTGCCTGAGGACAGCTGGGAACCAGATCAAGTTGCCGGTGAATATGAAGTCGAGGCCATCCTCGACGACAAAACACCACTGACGACGAGCACGGAGCGTGCTGTACGCGAGTTCAAAGTCAAGTGGGTGGGCTATGAAGATACAACTTGGGAACCATCATCAATCTTGTCTTGTGGAGGTCTGCTGTACGACTATTTGCGAGCCAAGAAGAGCGAGAATCGGCTGCAGATGGCGCAAGTTGCGGACGAAGGCTAGCGTGACTGGATCACGTGTGAACTGTCCACAGGGCGATGCAGCCTGTGGTAACAGACGAAAAACGTTACTGCAACAACAAATTGCATATGCATTTGAAGAACAACATGAACATGATTACGCTGTGGAAGTGGATTAAGAATAAGAAAACATGAATGCCGACCGGAGAGCGACCACTGAAAACGAAGTCACGCGGGACACCTCAACAGTTAGCTGAGATGCTGGAGAACGTCGTGGAACATGCAGCGAGGACATCATCGAAACCAACAGCAGTCTCGAGGCGACGTTGAGTGTGTACATCGCCGTGGAGAGGAGGCGCAACGCTGAGCTGCACTTGGTGACGTGACATTGCAGTCAAGTACGGAATTATCGAGGTCATCATGTGATCGACCGATGCCTCCGTACTTTCAGCCAGCATAGCGCGCAGCGAATCTTCGGTGAGTGGTGGTGTACCACCAGCAGGCGCAGGAGGAGCAGCAGGAGCCATCTCCGTGGGTTCAGCGACGACGGGGAGTGCTGCAGGAGCTACCACAGGAAGTGAAGAGTCCGGGGTAGCAGGCGCTGGAGGGCCGGTTGATGACGCTGCTGTCGGAGGAAGTGCAGCAGACTGAGGGGCGTTCGAACCCTCGGTCTTGCCCTCCTGAGAAACAAGTCGAGTAATGCGAGGTGATGAGCAAGGTACCGATGATTCAAGAGAAGGATGAGCTGACGTACCTCCAGCTGTTCACGTTCGCGACGTCTACGAAGATTGAGACGCTGAAACGCGTCGGACACGGCTCAATTCAGACGCTTGCACATACGGTGGCAGAGATGGTGAATTGAAGAATGAAGAAATGTCACAACGGGCACCAGTACCGTGGCTTCCATTGCGACAGGGGCAGTTGTGGTGTAGTGATTTCTCCGTAGTTGCGGATTATCACCCGTCGACAAAGACGTGACACCGCCCAAGATGTTCAAGCGACGAACCCTCGGTCAGGTGATGTACGGAGACGCCAAGGTGCAAGGGACTCGACGGCGTCACTCTCGAGCTTTCAACAAAGTACCGGATACGGTCATATGTCACTGAATCCAGGCTGTCCTTATTATTAATAATGGACTGGCCGGATTCGCATTCAGCGGACCATCTACGTTACGAACCCTCAGTGGCGGTTGGGATGAGTTCGCGGAAGACTCAGCGACCCTTGGAAGGTGCGTTCACCGTCTGGGACAGGGCGCGGACCGTTAAAGATACTCATGCGACGGTGCAGACGACGCTTGGCATGCAAGAAGATCCATAACGGATCATTGTTCACTTGATATTTGTATACTTGATTAGGACTTCTTATTAGGAATAGACCCGAAAGGGAAAGCTTAAATACAGAACAGAATTTTCACTCAAGCACACAGAGCGACGTCCGGCTTCAAGGTAAGCGTCAGGTCAAGCTTGTTTGAGTGTGTTATGCCTGTCGGTGAACTCGAAGCTCTGTAGCGAGGGTTCATCCGGCAAGGCCAAGAGACTTTGTGTATTGGCCGATTATTATCGGGAGGTTTTACGTGACGGCTTATTGTTGCCTATTTGCACGACTGGGAGTGCTTGAATTGCCTCCCTTTTATTTCTTCCAGCCGAGTGTTGAACACTCGGTGATCTCGTAAAAGGCTTACCCGTGCCTGGTACCCTTCCGCTGTTGGGACCACGAGGATTCAAAACACCTGCTAGCTTTGCTCGTGCTAGTAGCGTGTTCTTATTTTACTGGTTGGCCTATATAAGTAGTTTACAAGTTCCAGTTTGTCCCGGTGCAAGGGCAGAACTGGGGTCTTCAGGTCCGCCCGAACGATCGTTTACTATCCTAGTAGACGTATTGTTGTGGGAACATCCTAACTACATCTGTAGCTAGAGTTCACGTGGGATTTCCAACACCACAGAGACCTTGTTAACTCTCCAACTTATGTACTGAGAGTTTGTTAACTCTCCGGGTACTTCGTACCCCTGTGTGTTCCACACCATGTAACCCCGTTACAACGTCTCTAGCTTCACGACGTCATTCGTGGAGATACGCGAGGGAATTGACACTCGCCGATTCGCATCGGCGAGCTCGCGTTCCATGAATTCTTGTGCTGCAGCGCGCTGCTCGTCGGGCGTCGCTGAGCGCAGCAGCGACGTGACGACGGCTTCTCCGGACACCGCCGCGAGGCGGTGGAGAGCTTTATACTCGATCCGAGTGAGATGGAGGAAAGCAGCGTGGTCGAGGTCTTGGCTCATGTCGAACTTGGTCGTTGGAAGAACTACAAAGTGCTACCAGGTGTAACGGGCCAGGTATTTACTCCGTTACTTACTCACACTGTTGTGTTGAGGAAGCTCGTAATAGGACGACTGAGTCTTAGGCTTAAGGAAAATTCAACTCTGACTTTATTTTAGGACCAAGGCCACAGCACTGGCCACTCAAATACACGTCATAGTCCAATTGGCTAATAATGGGTCTGGCTCCCCATATGTCAGCCAATGACATGACAGCATTTCAGCACACGCTAGTCGTATGCTGATGCACCTACTTATGTAAAGAAATCTACCTGCTTATGTAATGGAGGGGCCCATTACAAAGTTGGCTTCCCAGAGTATACAAACTCTCAGTGAACGGCAGTTCACAAGTCCCTTTTAACCTAAAGGGAGCGAGGTGACCAATTTATGTAAGCTGAGTATATTTCTAGGTAGGCTAAGCTTGAGTTAAGTAAATAAACTATAAGTCACCTATAGAAAAGCAATGTCATCAGCCAATGGTTGGCCTCGGACGACCTTGGTACCTTGTACCAAATATCCCGAAGTATGACGTGTCATACTTCATGTAACTAGGGGTACACGTAGGGCTACGTACCCCGTTACAGCTTGGCCTTGATATCAAGCACCGCAGTAACTCACCAAGACTAATCGGTAGGCTAGCATCACATTCACGTTCAACATTGTAATCGGGTGCCAGACGCTCAACAAGGTTGTCAAAAGTTACGGTGGCCTGAAGATTTCTTGCCTGTCTCCCTATGTTACCTGTAACTCGGTCGACACTTTGGGTCGACACTTTGGGACGATATAATTCCTGGGATGCCGGTACTCCGTCGGTATAAAATATGCATGTTTTTCGGCTCACTGCCATTAGCTCTTCTCTGTCATGGCTTCCAGCTACTATTCGTCCGCTACTCTTGGTTTTGCACAGCCTCACTCGTCTCCGCGCTTACTCAAGTATCTGAAAGTAAACACCCAGTACTTACTTCGAATCCTCTTCCTTCTTCTCATCGGCATCCGTTGGGCTGTAGCCACTTGCACTCGGATTGTAGCCCTCCGTCGGGTTGTACTCAGGAGAGGCAGGACTATAGCTGGGCGACGTCGGGCTGTACCCTGGAGAAGTCGGCGAGTAAGCTGGCGAAGTCGGACTGTACGCCGGTGAAGTTGGCGAGTATGCTGGCGACGTTGGCGAGTACGCTGGAGATGTCGGCGAGTACGCAGGCGACGTTGGCGAATATGCCGGTGATGTGGGACTGTACGCCGGGGACGTAGGCGAATACGCAGGCGTGTAGGCCGGAGAAGTGGGGCTGTAAGCCGGACTCGTCGGACTGTACGCCGGGGATGTCGGGCTGTAGGCTGGTGACGTTGGTGAGTACGCAGGCGAAGTCGGACTGTATGCGGGCGACGTTGGGCTGTATGCAGGCGACGTGGGCGAGTATGCCGGGGACGTTGGACTGTATGCCGGGGATGTCGGAGAGTACGCTGGCGAAGTCGGACTGTAAGCTGGAGAAGTCGGCGAGTAGGCTGGTGACGTCGGCGAGTATGCCGGAGAAGTCGGACTGTAAGCTGGAGACGTCGGCGAATATGCAGGGGATGTGGGGCTGTAAGCCGGAGACGTCGGTGAGTAAGCAGGCGAAGTCGGACTATACGCAGGAGACGTCGGGCTGTAGGCTGGGGACGTCGGCGAGTATGCTGGAGACGTTGGGCTGTACGCCGGCGACATCGGACTGTATGCAGGCGATGTCGGGTTCAACGGAGACGCAGGGCTGTGAGCAGGCGACGCTGCCATGAAACCAGGAGACGCCGGGCTTGCCATAGGCGAGAAAGCGCCAGCCGCCGGTGAGAACGAGCCACCACCGGGGCTGAATGGCGATGATGCCGAGAAACCGGGCGTCGACGCGAAAGGAGTCGCCATCGGTGTGCCTGGACCCTGGTCCGGACTCCTCCATTCGTTGTCGAGACCCTGCATCACCTGCTGAATTTCCGACGCTTCATACTCAATAGCATTCGCCAGTTTCTTCGCGTCGAGCACCAAATCCATTATTCCTGTACCGAGTGGAGCCAACTGACCCAGCATGACATTTTCCGACACACCCGTCAGTGGATCTCCCTCCGAGAACATGGCCGCATCCATCAGAATTTCCACCGTCTCTTCAAACGAACAGCGGACAAGTGGACCAGAGTCATCACGGTTGATACCGTGACGAGTAATGGCCATGAGGTGACCACGGAATGTCATTACATCACACAAGCACGCCAAATGTCGGTAATTCACATAGGCACCATCGAAAGAAATGACCTGTCGAATTTCGTTCAGTAGCGCACGACGAACAGCTTCAATACCCAGCACCTGAATGATTTCGACAATGTCGTTTGAGATCGTACGGGTGGAGTCGACTTGGGGGTAGCACATTACATCAAGAAGATTCGTGCCATCTGTATCCAGCATCCACTCGTTCATCATCTTGAAACCAACGTCGTCAAACCAGTGTGTCGACGGTCCTTCACGAATGTAAACCTTCTTCACACCCTCGATACCACGCAATTTCATCTGCGTGAGCATATTGTGCTCCACACGCTTCAGAAATGTGTCATCTTCCTGTCCAACTGCAGTCTCACCTGAGCGCTGCAGCTTCTCTTCTTCGTCGCTCATTATACGGATACGCAGCACCAGGCGATCAGCGTTATCATCAGTAAAGATACACGAAAGATCCTGCCCATACTCAGCTTCCACTTGTGCAGCGATTTCACCCATCGTCAACTTCTTGTCTGCCATCATCTTCGGGTTCAGCTCAATACGCAGAAGCCACGGAGAACGAGCGATCGGCGTGTCCTCATCGGGCATTTCGTAGTACGAAGCCACAAACTCCTGGTCCTCTTCGACCACCGTGTTCATCGGATCAGGATCATAGTAGATCGAGGTGTTGGCCGTCACGTCTGCCAATGTCGTGTACTCTAGTTGTGACTGAATAAACTTAGCCTTATCGGCATCATGAGCGCAATCAGGCGTCAAGAAGATACGCAGCGATGGGGTCCGAACGTCCTTCGCAATGTTCATAATTTCTTTCAGGCGAGGCACACCAAGTGTCACATTCTTAGCAGACACACCGGCGTAGTGGAATGTGTTCAGTGTCATCTGCGTCGCCGGCTCACCAATCGACTGGGCTCCCACCACACCTGCCATCTCACCAGCAGACACCAACGCGCTCGTAAACTTGGACTCAATTTCACCCATGAGCCACTCGAATGCTGTCTCCGTCAAACGGTGCTCCAGTGTAACGCACTTGGACGCAAGCGTTGACCGCAATAAAATCTGGAAGAACAGTGTCGCATTCTCTTGGGCCTCGATACTCAGCCGGTCATCGCCCTGCACAACGATTATCTTCTTGCACAGTTCCTTCACTCCTTCAATTATGCGTGACGGGTGAAGACTTGATGGCTTTCGCATGTCGATGCTAAACAGCTGCTGTGCATTCTCCACCAAACGACGGATATTCACCGGAATCTGGGCGGCGTTATCGGACTCCTGGCCCTGGCCACGACTTGCCAAAATGACACGCAGGTTCACACGATCCTTCTGAAGCTGCGTCAGCTCTTCACGCAGCAGCTGTTGTGTGCGCTGGTTCGTCCGAATATCCTTGATGATGTCCGGCTCGAGGTATAGCTGGTCGGGGCAGTTCGGTACACATCCAAGGTCTTCATCCGACGGGTCGAAAACGTACTTCTTTTCAAACTGCACCTTGTTCAGCTTATGCGATTCGAATCGTTGCTTTTCGACCCAGACAGCATCCATACCGTCCTCGCCGTACAAAAATTGAATAATTTCACCCTGAGCGTTCCGCACAGTGCCATCGTAGCGTGTCATAACCGACTCCATTGCCTTGACAAGTCTACGTTGAATGTAACCAGTCTCGGCCGTCTTCACAGCTGTATCAATCAGACCTTCACGACCACCCATAGCGTGGAAGAAGAACTCCTGTGGCGTCAAGCCCTTCAGGTACGAGTTTTCAACGAAACCACGACTCTCGGGGCCAAGGTCATCCTTGCCGTAGTGCGGCAACGTACGGTGGTTAAAACCGTACGGGATTCGCTTTCCTTCAACGTTCTGCTGACCCACACAAGCAATAATCTGGGAGATATTAATGAAAGAACCCTTGGAACCGGACGTTACCGTAGCCTTAATGTTGTTCGTCTCATCCAGACTGCCCTGTGCCTCACGACCAGCTTGATCACGAGCAGTGTTCAACACAATATTAACCAAACCTTCGAAGGACTCAACCATTGTTCGGCCAGGCTGAGTTTCCAGTTTTCCTTTCTGTCCACGCACCACCAAATCGTGCACTTGCACCTTGGCCTGGGTAATAATATCCACAATAGTCTTCAGCGTAGACACATCGGCAATCGTGTCACTCACACCGACAGTGAAACTACGCCCAACCAACCAGTTGTTCACCAGCTGTTGAATTGCACCAAGAAGACGTTTGGTCTCATCGGGTCCCTTCTCAAGCATCGTAATGTGGACCAAACCACCGGCCGATGAACCAATGATCTTCTTGTCAATTATACCCGCCAACAACTCACCCTGCTGAATTATCACACGAGAGTCGATAGGAGACAGATCTGAGAACTTCTCGCTACTTTTGTGTGTCGACGAAAACCCAGTAAAGTTAATCGCAGGGACAATTGCCGAGAAAATCTGCTTTCCTGTCCAGATTGGCGTGTACTTGCCCAATTCTCCTTTCTTCGGTACCAAAATAGCAGGTGTTGGGACCTTGCCATCCCAATTGGAAACCCACATGAGCAGGTTCATGACCCAATCCTTGTGCAAGAAGATATCTCGCTTAGTAAACTTTTGTGCACCGAGCAGAGAATCCTGCACAATACCCATGACGGGGCGATTGCTCTGCGGAGTGATAATCACCTTGTGCACCATCATGAGTTCCTGTGCATCAGCACGAGCTGTCATCGACTGTGGCACGTGCAGGTTCATTTCATCACCATCGAAATCGGCGTTGTATGGGGACGTGACGGACAGATTCAGACGAAACGTCGACCAGTCAAACACCTTAACACGGTGCGACATAATGGACATTTTGTGCAACGAAGGTTGACGGTTGAACAGCACCAAATCATCGTCACGAAGATGACGCTCCACGATCCACCCGCACTTAAGCGCAAGGTCCGACTTGTTCTTGATGTAACGCAAATCAATACGATTGCCGTCTTCGCGAATGATGTACTTGGCACCAGGATGTTCAAGCGGGCCATTTGCAATCAGCTGGTGCATGTAATTCATATTGAACGGAGTCACACGTTCCGGCACAGTAAGATTCATCGCGATGGACCGAGGGACGCCGACTTGATCAATAGCCAGGTTCGGATCAGCAGTAATGACCGTACGAGCCGAGAAATCCACACGTTTACCCATCAAGTTACCACGAATACGGCCTTCCTTACCACGCAGACGCTGCCGCAGTGTCTTAAGCGGCTTACCGGAACGTTGCTGAGCTTGTGGGAGACCAGGCTGCTCGTTGTTAAGGAAAGTCGCCAAATGGAACTGCAACAGTTGTTCGAACTGCTCGATAATATGCGAAGGTTCGCCCTTGCGCACACAATTCAGCAACGCCAAATTCGCCTTTACAATAGAAGCCAAATTGTGCGTAAGATCGTCTTCACCACGCGCCATACCGTCAATAGCCACAGAAGGACGAACGTGCGGGGGCGGCACCGGCATGAGAGTCATGACAAGCCAATCAGGGCGAGCCCAGCGAGGGTCCAGTCCGAGAGCGAAGCAGTCCTCGTCCGATATGTTCTTGAAGATCGACAACACCTTCGCAGCCGGCAGATTCTGCTTGCGATCACCCGAACCGGGCACATCTTCCATCTGTTCAGGGAACTCTACCAACAGTTTGATACCCTGTTTGCGGTATTTGGGTTGGAGACCACCACAACCTCCGTGACCACCCTCCTTGGGCTTGGACTTGTCGTCCAGTCCCCCCTGTAGACCGATGTTGAGGTCCTCGCGCATTTTCTCCATGTCAGCTTCCTCGCCGTACTCACACATGCTCTTGTTGCTGCAGATCTCGTACACGGCCTTCAGTCGACGCTTGCCGTTCTTGATCTTCATGGCAGAGCGGAAGCGATGGTCGCGCTCGTCGCTCAGCACCTTGGAGCAGTGAAAACACACACAGCGTAGGATCTTGAGCACTTCCTTGATAAAACCCATGTGGTACATGGGGCGGGCCAGCTCAACGTGGCCAAAGTGACCCGGACAGTCGTTCACCTTGCCTCCACTGCCGCTGTATGTGCCTGTACACAACAACAATCATGAGAACTACGCTCAAGATATGTATGCCCTACGACAGAAGCGGGAGCTACGATTCCTTCACTTTATCTATCTCGGCATCAGTATCCGTCACGTACAGTCACAAGTCTTGCAACGAGCGCGGAAGTCACACGTGCCCATACGTGGGTCTCCAATGCCTCCAATAACAGGATGTCCGTTTAAGTACGTTTCCGGGCGCGAAATGCCGTCGGGGATAATACGGTCGTTGACCTTCGTCTGCTTAGTCACAGACATGGCGCGGATCTCCTCGGGGCTGAACACGCCGAACTGCAGGTACTTGACGCGGCGCAGACGCGCGCTCGAGTACGAGAACTGCGTAGACGCCATTACTACCTAGTTGTCGCGCTCCTCTCTGTTGCTTGGGACCCACAACGGCCAGAAGTAGAAGAGATGGCTAGCTATCGCTTCAGATGAGGACCTGGTCGACACTGGCTCAGCACAGAATTCGGGATTGGGAGGCGGAAGGCAAGGGGGAGGGTTCTCGGTAGAATGTAAACCTCTGTTATTGGAGAAAAATGTCAAAAAAACAATGATCCATTGGACAAAATCACATATCCGGATTTAGTTTTTGTCTTTTTTCGGAATCGCCAGGTTGCCCTTCAATGGGTGGGTCACCCACCCACTGATCACCATTTCAGTAGCACCCAGTGGGTGCAACTGGTATGGTGGGTTTTTAAACGGTGACGTCATCGTACTTAAGGAGACACTCCAAATTTGGATATCGAGTCGAATTGCGCGAGCCTGCTAGATATAATATTTCATGCGATATGATGGTGCTTTCAACTTCTTCATCCCAAGATCAAATGGGTAAGTTTTCTCTTTTGATCAATGGTCAGCGCCAGGGCTCCTGATAAATGTAAAGTACATTAATTCATGTACATTATTTTATGCATAATACATGGGAGTTCGAACGCGGTTGAAAATGCATAATGTATGGGAAGAAAATTTATGCCTTCTGTGACGGGGTCACACAGCACCTTGCGCTAGAGGAAGTTATCTTCCGAGAGTATACAAACTCTCAGTGAACGGCAGTTCACTGGTCCCCTCTTTAATTAAATAGAGCGAAGTGACCTAAATAAGGTAGATTGTAAACTGAGTATATTTATAGGTAGGTTAAGTTTGGGTTTAATACAAACTATTAGTTACCTATAGAAATGCAATGTCATTTAACCAATGGTTGGCTTTGAACGACTTTAATACCTTGTAATAAATATCCCGGAGTATGACGTGTCATACTCCTGAAGTGTGAAGTGTCACACTTCATGTTGTGGCGTAGCGGGATCAGCAAAATCTGCGAGATTGCCAGATCCAACTTACCAACTGCGCCCAGACACCGACTAACGGAGGGGGTCCCCCGATGATCCGTGTTCTGCTGAACTTTCCTCACCTTGTGTACCCGTCGGTAGGGCGGGATCTGCTCTCTCGGTAACTTCCGAAGAGTTCAAGTGGTGAAGCTTGAGTGTCTTGGCGAGACGTGGGGATGGGGTGGAGCAGCAGTGTAAAATCTTCACTCTGCGTCCGTGGATTGTTCCGTATCCTAAGCGAATATTCGAGCTTAAGTGTATCCGGGGCCTAGATCGTGGATCTAGCCGTAGGGTTGCCTTGCGGGTGTGTTCCCTTGCCTTTGTGTTGTCCTTTAAGTCGTACTTGCCGCCTCCTGTGACGGGATCTTGAGAGTTGAGAACCTCTAGGGTGTAACCGACCAAGTAGTAAATTCGGTTAACCTGTCGGATCTGCACGAGTAAAGGAAAAGCTCACTAGGTTGTAGGATCTGGCCAATGTATTATCCAGTTATCACTACCAACACTAGATTCGCAATTCCCAACCTTCTCGGAGCTCGTACGGCCAATGTAGTTCCGGTTCTTGAGGGCAGGAAGGCACTTGCGTGATACTGTGCAAATTGAGGACTGTATTGATATTTAAGCCTATACCTGCCTGGGTTTCTACCTTCTATGTCTTTCATCTGCTAAATCCCTTACCAGGCTCGGCTGCATGTCCCTTCTTCCCTTGACCCATCATCCCAGCTGTGTTATCTTCAGATCCACCGGATATATGACGTAATCATCATGGTCACCCTATTATGGGTACACTCATCCGGATCCAGGTCGCTTGGATCCACCTCACTGTAATGGTACACTCGCCGTGGATCCGAGCTCTCCAATCATCCAACATCATCTCGCAACCGTCTGTGATCTCCGTTGTCCCACGAAAGTTCGAGATCCACTGTATCCCTCATCCCTATACCCTGGATCCAGGTCCCTCCAGGCGGGATCCTCCCTCCTTGGATACGAACTCAGAAGTATGGGATCCGGGGTACCTCGCGGTGGATCTTGACTCTTCATTAGCCGTGGCTACTAGATCCACCGTCAGAGGGCACCGACCATCCTTCCTTCATAGGATCC